TTCTTTTGGGTGTCAACACCGATAACGATTCCTTTCTCAGCACGTTTTATTTATTTGCATGGGCAACATAACTGGTACACTTAGCTCCAAACCGTGTTTTACCCGAGAGAACTTCGATCGGTGACACGTGATCTGCGTTCGATCTGGTCGGCAAGTTAGGCAACGCGGAGGCCCACAGCATCGCTCGGGTCGAATCCATTACAGTTCTGTGAAAGCTCTCGTCCTTTTCCGTTTGACGAGGACATGCCAGCCTCGGGTGACTGATGTCGAATTCCTCGATTCAACAGGAAACGATCAAGGCGCGTGCTACCAAATTCACCTCCTCCGTCAGATCGGAGGACCTTCAGCTTGGTGTCATACTGGCGTTCAAACTCATTAATGAAGTCTTCAATATTCCCCTCTGCATCACTCTTTTTATAAAGGAGATACACCCGCTTGAAATTTGTAGCGTGGTCGACAATCGTTAGTAAGTGCTTGTGTCCGAGTCGATCTGGGGTCATATCGGTCTTCAAGTCTACGCAAAGTGTTGCACCTGGTTCATCCGTTGGGGTTGAGGTGGAAGTATCATTCGTGTTCTTAGGTCGGCGAGCTTGCTTTGCTTCCGCGCAATTCATGCAAAAATTCACATTTCAGTTCGTAGCAGTCATGCCCTGAACGAGCTTCTTGTCAAGCATTCGGACAAGACCTTGATAATTCACATGGCCGAGTCGTTCGTGCCGCAGTTGAAGTGTGGAGGAGGTCATTGCTGCAAATAAGGCCGCACCTTGCTCAATCCCGATATACAAGAGGTTGTTGGTAGGAGACTGACCCACTTCCGCGAGAATCTTGCCAGTTTTACCGCGAATGATTTTTTGATGTTCACCGAAGGTATACGAAATCCTTTTTCTTACTCAAATAACCAACCGATATTAGATTGTGATCAATATCCTTCGCAAAGTACATGTTCTCCAGCAAAATTGTTCGCTTGACTCCTTTCACAGTCACAGTTACAACCGTACTACCCCGCTCTGTAGCCGGAACAAGGTTGCCATTTGCGACCCGAACGGATAAGTAAGCTGGTTCTATCGCAAAAAGTTGACCACGGTGTTGCAAAATGGTGCGTAGCTCCAGAATCCACTATCCAGGTTCCATCGTGCTCGGATTGCTTAATAGCTTATGCAGCCATCCAGAGATGGGCTTCAGCGTCAGAGTCATGTGGCGAGTCTTCATCTCCCTTATAGCAGCAGCGATCTTAGCATTTCCGCTAGACGCCATTCGTTTTGCTTGTTCCACAACTGGGCACGGGAAAATTTTGTGTCCAGGTTGGCCGCATACATGACAGCGTATCTCGCCTCGGTCCCCCGTCGTAGCAAATGACTGACCGTTGTCTTGCTGTGGTGTTGACTTGGCAGCATTTTCACCATTATTTCCTTGGTTACGACCGCCATTTTGGTTATAGGAACGGTTGTTGCGCTCGTGGTTGCGAGTACCATGGCGGTCGCCATGACGATTTTTACGCTGAACGCCGCTTTTGCGACCATCGCCCTTCAATTTATATAGTAAACGCTTCATACGGTCAGTTTCCGCGATGTAGTTAGCATCTTCATCCGATATGGAGGACAATAGCGAAGGGGCAAGCTTAGGGCACGTGTTGTTTCCGAACACTTCCATGACAAGTTTTGTCTGATCGCCCTCCATTAGGCTCTCGATGAAGTTCAAGTATTCCAAGTAGTCGCGCCATGAATCTATTTCACGATTGAAGCAATTCATCTTCGTGCTGAGTTCGAGCTGACTCCGTTTGCAGCCCAATTCTGTGCGCAACGCACGCTTTACCTCGGAG